CAACCTCCCCTGCTGGCTTCCCCATTGGCTTTCTATGGAAACCAGCAGGGAAGATTGCAAATAGTGATCACATGATCACAGGGCGCTTGGCAACCGGTCGTAAGTGCGAACCAATTGCCAACGGCTCAGATCACAATCACATGACTGTGGGGGTGCTGCAACAGCTGTAACTTTGGGCATGCGTTGCAAGTCCCTTCGTTCAGCACTGTTGTAAATGTGAATCGTCGCTGAACAATTGGTTGTTAAGTGAGGACTACCTGTAGCTGATTTGGACAACTTCTGTACAGTCTCCAATCTTCCCTTTTGGGGAAATATTCTGGAGAAAGTAATGGGGCTTCAGCTATAGAAGGCCCTATATGAAACAGAATATGTGTCTCTCTTCCACTCAGGATTCTGGCCTTAGCATAGGACTGATACAGCACTGATTACTGTGGTGGATGATTGTCAGCAGAACTTGGATGTAGGAAGTTTGCCCCTCCTGATCCTAGTAGATCTCTTGGTAGTGTTTGATACCTCCAACCATGGTATCCTTCTGGACTACTTGTAATGGCTGGAGACTGGAAGCACTGTGCTATAGTGCTTCTGCTCCTTCCTGAATGATCAGTTCTAAATGGTGGTCATCAGGTAGGAGTGGCTGAGCCTATGGTTGCTTTAACATGGAGTACCATGGGACTCAGCCCTCTTTCCCAATTTCTCAATTCCGTCAGTTAAGTTATGATGATACTCAATCATACATTGCAATCTCAGGCTGGGCTCATCGTCAGGAGCTATAATGGACTAGATGGGGAAAATGAGCTTAAATTTAATCCCAGATGAAATGAAGATGGAGTTAATGATCAATCCGATTCTATTCTGGCTTGGATTTTGGCTCTGGATGGTTCCACTCACCCTGAAGGAGCAGTTCCACAACTTGGGGGATGTCCTGGACTCATAGCTCCTATTTGAGGAGCATGGAGAGCCTTTGCCCAACTTCTGGCATATGATGGCCTTCCTGGAAATCCCTGACTGTGACACGTATCTTTATCACCCCATGATAAGACTATTACAACACACTCTACCTGGGTTAGCCTTTGAAGATACCTGTCATGAGCCACAATTCAGAGTCTGATTCTGACAATGTTGCTCCAGCTGAGCCTGTGGAATGTCAGCCTCAGGGATCATTAAGCCATGATGCATCTGAGGCTGATCAGCCACAGGCATCTCCTGATCAGCTGGAACAGTCAGATATGAGGCACGACCCCCAAGTTCCAGATCCAAACGCATGCAGAAGTGAGCAGAGCAGTGTCAAGGAGTGTCAAGGAGACTCCTCACAAGGCAAAGGGTGAGGGCTGAATAATTGCAGCCAGCTGCCAGCAGAGAGATTTATGTAGCTTGCTTTACCTTCACTCTCTGTTGGAAAACAACCATTTGAAAACTTAGCTTGTGTGTATCCTGTTCTTGAATTCCTGACTTCTGAACTGGCTGACTGCCCAATTTGGCTTTGTGACTTTTGGCAATGTAACTAGACTACTCTTTTGCTTCTCGGACTGCAAACTGTACTTTACTTTGCTAAGTCTTTGATTTACAACTTGTCTGCTGTTATCTGCTTCTGCTCCTTGGCAATTGTGTTTGCTACCTTGAAACAGAACAATACCTCTTCAAGATAACTCAGAAGCTACATCATATCGTAGATCCCAAATGCAGTGGCCTGGATGTTAACTGATTATGTTTCATTCCCAAACTAATTGTTCTCTTGGGTCCAGTTCAAAATGCTGGTATTAACATATGAAGCCCTCCACAGCTCAGCCCCCATTACTTACAGGATTGTCTCTTCTGACTACATTTGGCTTGTTCTGTGTGTTCTTGTTCATATCAAGTCACCACCTGATATGAAGTGATACTTCTAGCAATGGGGGCCTAGAAGCACATCTTCTCAGTGGCTGCCCCATTATGGAACAACATGCCTCCAAAGGGGTGTGGAGCCCTCAGTATATCAGCTTTTGGAAAGACTGTGAAAAATGTTGATAAGGGCTGTTATGGACTGCCTGTTGAACAGGATCTGTTTCTATAAGATGTGGTTTATTTTGTTTTAGGCAGGTGTGTTGCAGGGACCATTTTAATACATTTGAGTTTTGAGGTTAATGTAAACTGCCTTGAGTCTTGGATGTGATTGGTATATAAATTGTTGTATAATCAAACAAAATCATTAAGGCTAATCCAAATTTATGTTAGTATGTACAGCATTATATATACTTAATTATAAATGTTATTTATAAAAACAAGGAAGTTTTCAAATAACTGAGTTGTATTGTTTTCACCCATGAAAATTCAAGAATCAATAAATATCAACTGTAATATATATCTGGCACAACACAAAACTAAAGATAATAAAAAAATCTACCTTAGAAATGTTGTGTATTTGTTCTATGCTTGCTTTTAGCCCTACGGATTCATGTAAGTGGTTCCACTATTGCTATTCTGAAGAGGACAGACTGTCAGTTCCAGTATGAAGAACGAGGAGAAACTTATTTGAAGGTAATCTATACCCGTATATTCATAACTTTAAAAATCTCTTTACGCTCAATATTTATTTAAGAGGTATGTACCTTTTAAAATATAACTTGTAGCCCCTGTGTCAAGACCACTTATAGGTAGTCCTTGCTTAATGTCCACTCACTCAGCAACATCCCTGAGGTCATGTGATCATGATTTAGGCAGTTGGTGACTGGCTCGCAATTATGAAGTCACAGCATTCTGCAGTCACGATTGCATTTGTGACCTTTATTGCTGGCTTCTGACAAGCAAAGTCAACAGGGAAGTCAACAGGAGGTTGCAAATGGCGATCATGTGACCGCAGGATGCTGTAACCTTTTGGGATTCGCCTAACTACGGCAATTGGGACTGCTGTCATAAGTCGGTGCATTGCCTTACCATTGTGGTGAATGAGCCTTACAACCACGGTAAGTCGGTGCGGTGCCTCATGACTGCGTTGTTTATTGATGTAGTTGCTGGTCGCAATTACTGTTGATAAGTGAGGACTACCTGTAATAAAGTTTATTATATAACGTTGGAATGGGCAATATATTCCTGATTTACAATAGTGAATTTGTGATATGTTTTTTGTCAATGTTTGAAATATTGGGGATGGGTGAGGGTTGACAGTGGAACAAGGACTTTATGATGAGAAGTTCTGGAATTGTTCACTTTATAAAATAGCATGTTGTCCAAGGCTTTTTTCTTTCTCCTCCTCCTTTTAATTGGTATACTAATGAATCTTGAGGTTGTATTAATCACAACACAATATATTATTTTATGTATTTGTACTTTCAGTGGGCTTAGTTTGCTTTTTTTTTTAAAAAGAAGATGCAATATAGTAATAATTTATAATAGTGATGATAATCAATTGTAATCCTGTCATTTTATATTAGGGCAAAGGAACTGAGATTACTTATTGGCTGACAGGTGTGAAGGATCAGCAATATAATCTTCCATCACCTCCTTCTGTGTAAGTAGTTTTTTTTTTTAAAAAAAAGACATGATAGTAACAGAATATTCATACCAGTGTTCAAAGTAGAGTGGCTTTATGTTTTGTTGACTTGTATTTCTTGTTTTCCTTTTGATAAGGAGAGAACGATCTTTTGTAGTATATGTTCTTTCTGTTGTTACTTTCTGAGGGTGGGGTGCTTCTGGAAGACAGGCACATGCATTCCCATCAAAACTAACTCTGATGGCATGCCTTGATCACCCCATGCAAGATCTATACACACATAAAAAGGTACATTCTCACTCCAGGTGAGCTTGATTCTTGGGTGTGTATATGGACACATCCATGTTGTTTTCAGAAGAGTGATTTGCCATTGCTTTCTGTTGTTGTTTGGTTTTGCTTCTACACTTCTTGGCCACTCCTATAGTCCTGGGACATTCTGGTGGTCTGCCAGCCAGGTGCCAGCCAGGCCTCACCCTGCTTAGTTTTTCAAGATTAAGATCAACTAGGTGGCTGCCACTGCTGTATGAGCCCCTTCTAGCCTTTAAACAGCATTTATAGGAGTAGTATTATTGATAGATAGAAATGTATAGATAATTTAAATAATATTTTCTGCTATTTCCAGGGAGAATCAGCAGCGTTTGCAGGCTGATTTTGCTGAGATGATAAAGGACTCATTGCAAAGAAGACCAACAGGAGATTGCCAGATGCAAGAGATTTCGTGCATAACTAGTTACTGCAAAGGCACTCTGGAATATCTGCAATTGGCTACTACAGAACGCCCTGCCACTTATCTGTAAAATTGGATAGGAACAAGTTAGGAATAAAAAGATTTTAGATTCCCACCACCACCACCACCCATTTGTAGGATTGAGGAGAGTAAGATTGGTTGAAAACAGAATGTTGATCATTCCTTTAAGTATCATTAATCAGAGTCCATGGCACCTTTTCCAACTAACAAATTTTATTAAAAGACATGTAGTTTTCATGACAGCAGCTCATTTTTAATAAAATGTGGTAGTCTGCAAAGATACTACAAGACTTCTGATTTTTGGCTACCATAGACTAACATGGCTCTCTACAATGTCTACTTGTATATCGTTAGCAATCATCTGTGAAAAGATTCCCTTTGCATTTCCAAAATGCAAATAACCTAGTGCAAGATACTTCTGTACTTTAATAGCACACTGCCTTTTGGATATGCGGGGAACAAAGTAAGAGGCTGTCAGTTACAGCTTTCACATTCAGTTTGTTGCTTATGGTCAAATAGGAGCATAGCAAAGCTGACTTCTCTATAATGTAAAGTGACTTTAACTATTATATAGGTACTCTCGATTGCATAGACTGATCCTTCCCTGCTCAGTTCAGTGATTGATGTTACAGTGGATATAGGCAGTTAGAGGGAAGTCTAGTACAATTTAGAAATATGTGTGACCTTATCCTACATATCTTCCTCTATAAGCTATTTTGAGTGTATAGGAATATAAGTAAAGAGGGAAGCAAGCAGTGAATGCCAAGCCATTCCTGTTTGAAACTGTTTAGCCATACTTTAAAAGTGAAGTCTGATGTTTTTAGGCTAAACTCTTCCCTCACGGTTAGATAGATTGTGCTGCATTTGTTTCCTCATAGAAATAGCCCCATTTTATCTGCCATTTAAAATCTGTTAAGGCATTGATTTTTCATGATTTGTTTGTTATATGTTTGGAAACATAACCAGCACATTTGAAAAGACAATAATTTTTTTTTTGGATAAGAGTATCTTGCGGCATTGGCTCTCACCCTGTTACAGATGAAATTTGAATATATACCTACACCCACACCCACATATAGGTATAGATATATACACAGATATACATACACTTATTTGGATGTGGGCATCTTGTTGCTGTCCTATATAGGTGTTTTCTTTCATACATGATTTTATTTTGTATTCTATAACACTGAGAGTAATTGTATTCTGTTTGGAGGGTCATTTGTGTGGCAGGAAAACAGGATTCAAAATGTTGCAAATAAACAGCTGCCCATTTTTGGCTCTTCACTAGCAATACTTTGCTGATAGTCAGGATTCAGAGTAGCCTGAGCTCCTTCCATACCTAGATCTGCGTATCAACTTCTTGCCCAATGTTTTCCAATAAATTATGAAATGAAAGCATACTCCTTTCCAATATAGTTTCCATTCAGTTTTTACAGTTTAATAAATGATGAAAACAATTGATGAAAGCAAATATTTTTGTAAATTAAAATCCTTTATACTTTTCCTATTGAGGTCTTATGATTATTACGTGTATAAAAAGAGGAAGAAAGCCATTTTAAGATCATATATGTATTCTAGATAACCTAGAATATAAAGTCTTATTAGAGACCGGTTATAAGGCAAAACCAATTGAATTCTGCATTACTGTATTTTCCCCGAGAAAGGTAGGGCCTTGTCTGGACTACTATGAGCCAGAAGACTCTCACTGAGTCTAAAACTCCACTCAGCTGCAGAGAGCCTATACCCACAGACACATCATATGACAGAGGAACAAGTTTTCTTCTGAATAAAGGCATACTCAAAAGTAGGGCAACTTGAAAGCAAGAAATTGCATTAAGTTGATTTAATGACTAACTTCACATATCACACTAAGCTATAGCCTATTGAATAGTGGTTTATTGAATACAGTGCATCTGGTGAAAAAGGCCTCAAAGCAAATTAAAAGGTAAAACCTCTTTTGAATCAAGCTCAACTTTATGTACAGGTCCATGCAATTTTCTTGGCAACAATAAAAAAAATATGTTTGCCGTTGCCTCCTTCCAGATGTTTTTTCAATTTCTCAGACTAGCCTACAACTCTGTATGACTTTAAACTGAAAGCAAAAGGCAGTTAAACAGAAAACAACTTCACTGCATCCAATTCAAGTTTGATTAACATTTTTCATCTGCAGTAGTCAGATATAAATCCTAAATAGACATTATAGTATAATACATCTAAAAAGCTATTTCTTCCTAAGTAAAACCCTGTAATTTGAAGAAGCATAAAATATGAAAAGTAACTTTGCCATTAATAAGCATGCTCTGCTTATGCTGTGGTTGATAGGAAAATGGAGGCTTCATCAATATTTATCAATCTAAAAAATAACTAGCACACATACCTTTGCTTGTTTACAAGATTCTCTTCCACCTAAAATAATGACAGAATCATAATTATTTCTGATGCATAATATTTGTAAGACTGCATTCTGCTTTCTTCAAGTTCCATGTAAAATCAGCTTTGGGAATGTCCAATATCTAATATGGGTTCTAAACTACTGATTTACTTGCATGTGTGGTTAGCACAGGAAAAATAAAATGACAGCTTTAGGTTTGTTGGTATACTATTGTATTTGTAACTGATAAGAATTACTTGTGGTTGAGAACAAGACAACACCTTCCTTTGTTCATGACTAAGATGAAGTAGGGACTGTTAAAGAGATAAACATTTAAAGTAACCTTTAGACCATAAGGAAGTAACTTTTGACCTTGCCTTTTAACAAAATGACAGGACTGCTTGACTTCTTCAGATCAACTTAAGTTGATGATGGAACTTTAACAAGATAATGATTCTTTTTATACAACCCATGATAGTAAAACTCTTGAGGAAATGTCAACTCTGTGTTATTCAGATATTTAAAACTGAATAATTCAGATAATTCAATCAATAGGTTTATGCAGAGAACTGCAGAGATGACTTTGGAGAAGGTATGTGAAGCCTGTTAGCAAAACATTGACTTGGCACCGGGAAAACCAAATAGCATGAGAAAGAAACTTAAAGTTGCTCCATCTTGATTCTTTTTAGTGTAAGAGAGATGGAAGGGGACATGCTGTCAGGCTTTCAAAATTGGTGACAGCCATTCAAGGTAGGCCAGGTCAGGAATCAGACTCCAGAATTAATACAGGAACTCCATTCATATCGGCTATAGTATACCAAGATAATCTCTGCAGTTTTCTATAGTTTATCACCATTTAATGACATAAATATTATATGGTGCTTTGTTTCTTTGAAAGGAATTATAATGATGCATCCATTTTTTTTTACCACTACTAAAATGTAATTCTGCAGAATTACAAAAAGAGAGTTCTTGTCAGATCCATTTTCAAAATCCTACACTTTTAGAACTTAGCAATGGCTTTAAAATCACTAAAATAGTAAAAATAGAAAGGGAGCTGCACCTCAGCCATATCACCTTATGAAGTATGTTTGCCTACAATGTTTGTTTTGAAAAACACCAGATTTCCCCAAGAAAAGGATGATAAAATTGCATTAGGATGATCTATCATAATTATAGGAATTTTGCTGGGGAAAGTTGTTGATGCACTAATGCTTTCAAGCCAAGGTTTTGCTTTTATCAAACTAAACCACTTGATGTTTTGCATCAAGCAGCAACTAATTTAACTACAGGGTTTTTTGCTCATTTTTTATCACACCTGGAAGATGCTTTTCCTTCTCACACATTGTTTCACTTGTCTGTTATGCTTCTGTAAGCTGTCTTTAATACTGAAAGGCACATATTAGTGCTTTAGTTTACTCAAACATATCCATGAAGAAAAGCCTAGAAAGAAAATTGAAAGCACCAATTCGCTAGCATCCATTAAAACCTCTCTAACCCTCAAGATTTAACTGTGTTATATTGAGAGTCCAGTCAGAAGGGCACACCTCAGTATCAGATTACAAGACTCCCCGTGGAAATCAGCTCCTATGGGGTGTGCAAGACGCAACTCCATCCGTAAAAGTCTCTCCCTGAAGTGCCGAGCAGACATGTCGCCCCTTCACTTCCAAGCCCACAGACAGGGTCGGCCAGGTGTTGAAATTTGCTTAAAGGTCAGTCCGGGTTAATGACTTCGCCTTAAGACTCTGGGAAAGAAGTATGTCAAGACGTCTTCCTGTCCTTTGCCTCGTGACAATATAACAACAGTAATAACAACGTTCAGCGCCTGGGCGGAGGCGGCCGGGGAGCTTTCTCGCTTTCTCATCCACCCCGCCTAAGACAGGGCGGGTCTCTCGTGCCGCCCGGGGCAGCGGCCGGGAGAGAGCCAGTCGAGTAAAGTTGCGCTGCCCTCGGCCCGCTTCAGAGGACAACACGCAGCGCGCCGCTCGGCATGGTCCGCTTCGGCAGCGCCTCCTCCTCCTCCTCCTCCTCCTCCTCGGCGAACTGCCGCCAGCGGTGCTGGCGCTGGTGCTGGTGGGGATTTTTACTTCTCTGGGCCGGGGCAGAAACTCGAGCAGGTGAGAAGGCAGCCGCTTGGCAGGACAGGCAGAGGACGCCCTTCTCCCGGGCACTCCACCGCTGGTCCGGGAAGGGGCTCAGCTGCGGCGTTCGCGGGAGGGGGCGGCTTCCAAGGATGAGGACGCCTCCCGGGGCTTTTTGCAGGGTCCCGCCAGGGGAGCGCGCGTCGGGCGCTCGGACGTCCCTGCGTTGCCGCGACAGCGCGGGAAGTCTTGTTTTCTTCTTTGCCTTTCCTCTGGTCAGCCCCGTGGAGGAGAGGGGTGGCCCCGTCGTTTCTTTTCCGATCTCCTCCGGCCTACGCGAGCCTTTTTAAAAAAGGCATCAAGAGCCCTTCGTCTGGAACTGGCGCGCAACGCCCGTAAGTTCAGAGTTCCCATTCTAAATTTCAAAAAGGAAACGTCTTCTTAAACCGATCAGAATCGATAGTATGGAACTGAACTGTTTCGAATTCGCCTTCCCAGCCGTTTGGTTCCCAAAGGGGATTTGCCTTTGCCTAACGGTAAAAACAGTAAAAGTAACAACTAACAACATTTTCTCTGCATTCTCCTTTTTTAAGGGGGAATTCTTCGGGGCATATACTGTAAACCATGTGTCCTAGGACTAGATCCTGAACTGAACTGAAATCAGTAGTAAGCAGAAATGTTAGATACAGAGTTTGGGGATAATTTTAACAAACAAACAAAAATCATACAACTTTCAGTAAGTCTTCCATCCCTCATTTATTTTCAAGAAGCAAATGTATCCTGGTTCCATTACTGGAAAAACTATTTACAATGTATAACGGATAAGATACACCACCAAGATACTTACATACAATACATAGCGTGATTCCGAATAAACTTTGAAAATTACGTTTAAATTTGCAAACACAAATCAGGACTGATTGCCATCTAATTTTAATATTATACTTTTAAAAGGAATCTTGCAAATTAGGAAAGGGAAAGCCTGTTGATCCTAAGATTTATTACTGCACTATTAGAAGAGAAGATGTTTTTGTGGTATAACGTCTATAACTGCAGTATCACAGAGTTTTACAGTAGTGCTTTGTAGGCTGGAAATACAGTTTATCATTAATATGTTCAGATATGTTGGCGCCATGGATTAAGAGAGTGAATAAATTTCCATTCTAATGAGAGCTAAAATAAATAATTGCCATGGCAAAATATTTTACAACTTGGTTTGTGTATGCAGCCAGCAGGTGTGCAGTCAGTAGCCTGGATAGATTTGCTACTAGACTAGAACTTCTCTACCCATGAATTGCTGACCCTGTTAAGTTTATTTATATAAATTGGTGTGCCTGAGTTCATATACTGATTGTATCTGTTTTAGTATGTATTTTAATCTTTGGCTATAATCCATAAGCAGTTACTTGTGAGCAATCTGCACTGATCTTACTTTCTTACATTCTTAGGATTTCCTATTAATGTGTTTGGGAAACATACAGACAAGGATGATAAGTAACATAAAACTTTCTGTATTTTATAATTACAGCATAAATATGCGTATTTTTCTGATTCCACTGTTTAAATCTTTTCTTGCCATGATTCCCACACAGCTTAGGCACTTGTGAAAGTTGATTTGCAGCTATTTATAGTTTATAAAGGCTGTGATGTATTTCATTGGATGGTAACTTATGAATAAATGTGAATGCCAGTTCAAAATAACTAGTTTTCTTAGTGTCTTCTTAACACCACTGCCAGTGTAACTGTTCTAAGAAATTTGAAGTACTCAGTTTATTGATTAAGATCATGAAGTACAGGCTATAAGATATAGAAAATACACACATAACAATGTTGATATGTCTGAAATAAGAGACTTAAAAGGAGACAGGATCCAAACTGTCTGAATTGAAAGGCATATTACATACCTGTATTTATTTTGTGTATTTAATTTAATTTAATTTAATTCTGTATATTTGAAATAAGTTGCTCTACTTCTTTCCCATCTTTGAAAAGAGGAGCACAATTTGTCTAGGATGATATTATAATTTTATTATAACAGTGATATTTGAATATAAATCTTTTAAATTCAAAACCAACTGTTCAACTTCTGGGACAGATGGCTGCATAGTATTGTAACTTAATGTGTAACAAGTTTGTTTCCAAGGTAATTTTAAATAAAAAGTACACAAATAAACATTATAGCAAAGAAAAAGCCAGGAAATCAAAAAGCAACATCATATGGTCAGCGGGATTACTGAAAAGCTGAGAAAAATAGACCATTGCCTGGCACAGAAGGAGTAAATAAGAAGGTATCAAGTGAATTCTCTAAGATGAGCTTTCAGCAATTAGAGTGGTACTACCAAAAAGGCTATCTACAATTCAGCTGATACAAGAGGCAAAGAAGGCCCTCTGTTAAGGATACTTATGGGTGGGTACTTGCAGACTTCCAAGCATCCTTGTCTAATGCAGTGAAGGACTTCTAAGATTAGAATCACCATTAATTTGAATTTGGGCTGGGCTTGGATCTAGGGAATGCCAGGGCAGTTGACAAGAATAGTTTAACACTCATAATTGAGTGTCTAATAAAACTGTATTCTGCACTTTTAAATCTTTTAAAACCATTCAGTGGCATCAGTAGATTAAGTAATAGCAGTCAATTATTAACCTGTTCTTTCAGAGTGATTGTAACAGTTTGAGGAATAGAATGAGCGCTGCTTCTTTGGATGAATTACAATTCATGAGCCTTTGTTTTTTCTGAATCATTTCAGTTTATTGGTTTTCCTCCAGTCACAACCATGTCACAAACTGATTTAGCATTTTAACCTGAATTTGTTTAAAAGTCCTGAAACCAGCTAACATTTCAGTTGAAGTAGATTAGAGAAATTTAGTCTTGTCAATGAGTGTCAAGAATTGTATAGTAACCAAGTGTGTGACCTCTTCCTTTTTTATGTAGTGTTCGGATTTTCATTTTCTCAAACAGAATTAATTTAAAAGTAGTTAAAATTTTCATGATTAAATTTCCTGAGGTTATTTACAAATGCATGCTAAAAGAAACTATAAATTATATATTGCAGTATTCTTAAGTTATACTGTTACTTTCTGCATATGTTTTGTACGATAGACTAGAAGGAATAGACATGGGTATGATCCCCCTTGCTGAGAGCCAGTTTGATGTAGTGGTTAAGGTGTCAGACTAGAGACCGTGAGTTCTAGTCCCACCTTAGGCACAAAGCTGGCTGGGTGACCTTCGGCCAGTCACTCTCTCTCAGCTCTAGGAAGGAGGTAATGGCAAACCACTTCTGAATCTTGCCAAGAAAAAGGCAAGGACTTGTTGAGTCCTCAAAGTGCCTCAAAACTGACTCAAAGGCACAACAACAGCAACAACAACAACAAAAAATCCCCTTACTGTGAGGAAAGAGAATATAATGCTAACTGCAATGTACTGAATTTGCTTTTCATCTGCCATTATGTGTTCCGCCAAATAAAGTCCTTAGCATTGTAAATTCTATGATATAATACCAATATGATTAGAAAATATGTGTTGCTTTCTTATACATGTTAATCTTTGCAGTGATAATTACATTTTGTTAATGTTATAACAAAGCTCTACAATGCAGAAAACACTTTTGTCTTAAATTAAGAACTAAAGCCCTTAGTACGGAAATCGTAAGTTAAGATGCTTTTGTCTTAAATTAAGAACTAAAGCCCTTAGTATGGAAATCATAAGGTAAGATGCTGGCCTTAGCTTCTATGCCACATAATCAGTCAGCATGTTCTGCAGGCTGACATACTGGGTTTGTGTAAACTTAATCTCCATGTCCACATGGTCCCTTGGCCTTTCAGACCAGTCATTTTTCTCTGCAGATTTGGGTCAGTATTGCAAGAACTGTTTTTCTCAGTATGTTTTCATTTTGATTAAAAAAGACTGTCCTAGGTTTGTAAGGATACTCTGTATGATACGAGTTCTGTTTAGAAAAATATAGTAAACATAAGACAGGTAAAGATGGATTTAAGAATTATTAATGATATATAGAAAAGAGAATATGAGTATATCCTAATTTTTTAAAGAGTTTATAAGCACCTTCTAAATACCATAGTTTTCTAACACTGCATAAAGGGATGCTAAAATCAATAATCATGTATCAAAATACCGTAAAAACAAAAATAAAGTAAATCAGTGGTGTTCTGCGGGAGGGGCAGTCCGCCCCGGTGTTGGCAGTAAGGAGGGGCTGCCAAAAGCAATGAGGAGTCTTGTGGCAGCTCAGTCACTGTGCCTGCACCACACTGCTGATGCCAAAGAGCTGAAGTCGCCACTGCATCAATCAGCGGTATAGTGGTTGGTGACACGGTACGGGTCCAGCAATGGAACCGGACTTGGGTTGCTGTTGCTGGCAAACATTTCTAGAATTCACTCTTTTGGAAGCATTTCTTCATGTGTGATTTTTTGGGAACTTTGGAGAAAAAGTTTTTTTCACTCTCACTTCATCAGTGGAAAATGCTGCCGAATGTGGGTATAACAGTGAACAGATTTTCCCAGATAAGATGGATTGCTCATTATGAAACTATCCATGTAGTAAAGACAGATATTGAAGAGTTAATATCAACCTTTGAAATTCTGTGCGATCCAAAAGAAAATGCAGACCAAAGAGGATCAGCTCAGATTTTGCTCTCTGTTGTATGTGATTTTTCTTTCCTGAGTTATCTTTTTTTTTTCCCTGATGTGATGTTTTTAGATGAGGTTAATCAGACACAAAAATATTTGCAAACAGCTGGAATCAATCCTGAATAATGTACAGTGAAACTCCAAGGTTTAAAACTGTTCCTTGAAGACTGACACACAGAAATTGTGGAGAAATTAACTATGCAACAAGAAGAAGTAAGGAAATGGATATTAACATAGAAAAAAAGAATAAAATATTGAAGAATAATGCCAGGAGAAATGACAAAAGATATTGGTCTTACATTGCCAGAAGAAATCAAAAGAACAATGTTTGAATTCTTCTATCATTTTCACTAAGAACTGGATGCTGATTCTAAAGTGATGGATCAAATAATAT